TCTTCTTTTCCTTTTTTAATTACGAAACTTCTATACATTTAACATAAACATCAATCTCAATAAGTTTTAAAATTAAAGTTAGTTAATATTTTTAATATTACATTATTAGAAATTTGTGATAATCTTTTAAGTTTCAAAACCCTTAAATAATAAGGGATTAGAGAAAAATAATAGCATACACGCAACGCAATAATTTTCGTAATACCTAAAATTTCCTTTTTTTTCGTTTTATGAAAATTTAACAACACCTTGTTATTTATTGATAAGATGTAAATTGACAAGAAAACTTCACAATGTTGGTCCAAAGGAAATTATCAATTACTATTTAACTACGTGAATATTGTATTTTTCTGTTTATAATTTTTGATTTTAGAAATAAGCAAATGTATCAATTGATTGATACCTTATAATAATGATTAACAATTAATATTAATGAGCTTTTAAGAGAAAAAACATCTTCCTTCATCAAGAAACTATGCTACATTCAAAAATTTGTACATTTATTTATTATTTATTTATCATTAATTTGTGCAAGTGATATTGTCAATCATAAACTTATTTATATTGTTTATGATGAAATTACTCTAAAAGCCACCTAAAAAAACTCCTTCCTGATGATTTTTTACCATTTATAATTAAAATCTCATAAAAAATATTTTTACTTGTTTATTTTCTTTATTTATATAATTATTTTTTGTATTATCTCTTTACTACCATCAATTCAATTAAAACATACATAATATATATATAATGTCATTGACTGCTTCAAATAACAATACAACACCACCAGTCATAAGAATTATTACACCACCATCCTCGCCAATAATAATGGTGTCAGGTAATGAAGAATGGGATAATGTTGATGATTTTTCAGTAGAATCTTTTCCCGGCGAAGAATCTTCTATCAACAACAATAATAATACAACTTTCACGCCTAGTTCACCACCAGAGGAAATAAACGGTGAAGATATTTCTACTGATTTTGACTTTACAAAAAATAATAACAATAATTCAACCGACATTTTACAAAAAATGGGGTTAGTTTTTTTCTATTAAAATTTTAATTATTTAAAAGGAAAACAAAAACTTTTCACTATAATTTACTAACCAATTATTTGTTTATTTCAAAATGAAATTTAAAGACATTGGCTTTATAATACGCGACTCGTTCAATATATGAAATCTGATGAAAGATCAAGAGTGAAACATAGCTATACAACGAATTCTATATGGATGCTTGGAATAGAGTATTCATTCACAGGTAAAAATTACATTGTATGAATTTTTTTTGCTTTAATAATTTTCACTACTTTATATATATATATATAAACATTGGACAAGACAATTCTGTAAAATATATTTTATATATATATAAATATGGCCGTATGACTAGTAGAGGATGGCGAGTTCGTTAATCTTCCAAAACCTGACAGAGGTGAACATGCAAGAGGTACTCGGGCTTCCTCACTACTTAATTTCATTATGTTTGGATTATCAGAAGACGACGACGATGATGATATTGATTCACCTGGATATCATGAAAGACATTATAGCGAGGACTATATACGAACTCACAAATCGGGAAAATCAAGATCCTCTTTTACATTAAATAGATTCGAGCCTGATTTATTGTCATCATCTACTTCATCATCACCATTGTTACCATCACCACTACCACCAGATTCATCATTTTCAAACTTACAATTGCTGCCGTCACCATCACCATCATCATCAAAACAACAATATCATCAACAGGGAATTATACATTCTTCAAAAGTAAAACAAAATTTACATCAAGCAACAGCTAGTCATACAGGAGTAATTAAGAAATTAAGGTCGTTATCTTTTTCTCGTAATAATAACAACAACAATAATAAATCACCGTCACCGCCACCAGAACAAAAATCTCCCAATTTTTCACCGCAAAAGACAGAAAATCGTGTGAAAATGGCGAATGGAAATAATTATGATTCTTTACATATACGACCGAATTACGAGGCAAATAGGACTCGTTTATTTCCCAATAGAAAAAATGATTCAACAACAACAATCCATTCAGATTCTGCAATATCTAATTCATCAAATTATGAAACAACCTTTCATTTTTCTTCTAATTCTTCGCCTGTTTCCTCTTCTTCAAGGAAAGCACAGCCAAATTTTTTCTTTCGTTCTCTATCTAATAATAATAACTATTACAACGGCAATATTGAAACTTTAAGTCAAAATAATAATAACCTTAATAGTGCCAGTAATAATAATAATTATAGTAATAGTCAAGGTGGAAATTTTTCTCCAAAATCAAAGAAAACTCGTAGAATGACATTTACAAGTTTCTTTTCTAATAAAGAAAAAACCAAATATAATAAAGCTTCGTCAAGATTATCACCTCATTTAGAAGCTGAAAGTGATTACGATCTTAAATTTTCTGAAGACGATGAACCTTCTGCTAATAATAATAATAATAATACTATTACAAAAAAAAACAATTTCATAGATTTTATTGGGTTTAAAGATCGAACCAAAGACATTAACAATTATAGCAATAATAATAACGTTAATAACGATAACGATAACAATAGTAATTATCCTGACGATTTATATTATAGTTCTGATGATGACGATGATAGTATTGATAATAGTGGTAAAGCATTAGAAAAACATTTAACAACTAGACCAAATAATTCATCTGTTGACAATATATCTATAGAAACAATAACAATTGAATCAAAGGAAAAAATAGATAAATTGTCCAATCATAATAATAATTATTCTTCTACTTTTAACGAATCACCATCATTATCAAATTTAGCGACAAATTTAAATTACAATAACGATGACGACAATAATTCCGAGTTAACAGCTAGACCAAATAATTCATCTGTAGACAATATATCTGCAAAAACAATAACAAATGAATCAAATGAAAAACAAGATAAATTGTCCAATAATAAAAATAAAAATTCTATTTCTAACAAATCATCATCGTTATCAAGTTTAACGACAAGTTTAAATTACAATAACAATAATAACAATAATCCTGAGAATTCAGATAGTTGGGTTAATAGAAAATCAACATCATCAGAAAGTGGTTCACTTCGATCTTTAAAATCGTTACCTCCAACACCTACAAGTTTATATAGACCAGATTCATTAGGACCTTTAACAATAAATCAAAAAAAGTTGATGGATTTTCTTTTGGATTTTCAATCAAGAATATTTTGTTGTTATCGTAAAGAATATCCACCAATTGAACCTTCCTTTCATACCACTGATACTGGTTGGGGATGTATGCACAGAACTGGTCAAAGTTTATTGGCACAGGGATTTTTGATTGTTCTTTTAGGAAGAGGTGATTACTATTATTATTTTTCTTTATTTAAAAAAAATCTAGAAATAAATTTTTTTTGCTATAAAATAACAAAATAAAACCATAGATTGGCGATTACATAATGTTCAAAACGATATTGAAAAATTCACATATAGAAAAGTATGCAACAATAATAATGATGATGATAATTTTTTTTAATTGACCTGTGAATCTTTAAATTTAAAATAAAATTTATTTATTATAGATATTAAGTTGGTTTGTAGATAACCCAGATCCGGAACATTATTATTCAATTCATAATATTGCTAGGATTGGAATTTCATTAGATAAAAAAATAGGTGATTGGTTTGGACCCTCAACAATAGCACACTCATTAAAGTACGTGTCTTTGTTTTATATAATGATTGTATATTAGAAATATGAAAATTTTCTAACAAGTTTATTATTTATATATGCAGACGTTTATCACTAACTCATAAAGATTGCCCTTTGTCAATCTATGTGCCATCTAACAATACTATATATCGTGATGAATTATTGTTAGTTGCAACATCTGATGAACAAATGGATATTATTGAGAATAATGATGATAATAATAATAATAGGTGTAGTGGTGAAATGAAATTGTGGAAGCCTGTTTTAATTTTGTTATCTGTAAGGTTAGTAAAAAATAGTTATTTTTCTTTTCATCATCATCATCATCACCATCATTTCATTATTGTTGCAATAATAATAATTTATAAACTAGGTTAGGTACAGATAAACTTAATCAAAAATATTCAGGAAATTTAAAGGTAAATACAACATTAATAGGAAGAAATATATTAAACATAATAAGAATATTATTATTATTATTATACATTAGGCTTTGTTTACTTTTCCTCAATTCTTGGGTATTGCTGGTGGAAGACCTGGAAGATCATTATATTTTGTTGCTGTTCAAGGTATTTATTTAAATGATTAATTATTTTAATTGATTGATTATGAATATTATTTTTGGGGATTGACACATTTGTTTATTTATATATCATTCAGATGATGATCTACTATATCTTGACCCACATTTTGTTAGACCTGTTATTAATCTTAATAAATCAACCGAGTTTCCAATCGAAGTATTAATTTATTAATTATTATTAACAAATAAATTCTCCCTACTACCAACATTACTTAAAAAAAATATAATTTATTAATTAATAAACATTAATTTTATATATATTCAAAGGATTATCATTCCACAATTGTTCGAGCAATGGATATTTCAGAAATGGATCCTTCAATGTTGTTAGGGTTTTTATGTAAAAATCGACAAGATTTTGATGATTTTTGTGAACGTATTGAGAAGGTAAACTATCACATAATAAAGTATTCTATATACATATACAATATATGAATACATAGCTTAATATAATATTCAATCAATTGATTACATCGTTTTTTGTATATAATAAAGGAAACAGAACCACAGTTTCCAATATTCACTATACAAAATGAAAATTTACTACCAAATAATTCAAATTTTAACAACAAATCTTCTGTTAGTAGTATGATTAGTAATTGTAGCAGTGATCATTCATCGTTATCATCATTATTGTTATTAAGCAATAGTGATGATAAATTAAGCGAGAAATCATTATCATCAATTATTTTAGAAGAAGTTAGGTTAGATAAGTATAAAGATGAGGAGGCTGATAATGAAGATGAAGTTCAAGTTCATAAAAATAATAGTAACAATAATCACGACGATGTAGATTATTATAATGTAGAAGAGTCAAAAGATTTTTCAACTTTTTCAACTGATGAAGAAGATAGTTTTGGGATTGGAATTTGGGCTAAAGAAGAACAAGACAATGATGATGGAGATGGAAATAGCGAAAAAAATGAAACATCAGCAATACCAGTATTAAATACTAACACAAATACTAATACAAATAATAATAATAATAATAATAATAACAACAACAACAACAACAACAACAACAATAATAATTTAATAAAACAAAAAAAGTCACCATATAATAACAACAACAATGAAGATAATTATGAGATATTATAAAAAGATTTTTATTTTTTAATAATTAATCTGCTTGTATTTTTAAAAATAATTAGAATAATTAAAGATATACATAATATATATATATATATATAATATATATAGATATTATTTAAAAGAAAATTTTTATTTATTTATTTATTTATTAAAATTATTTTTTAATCAAAAAATAAAAAATTAATCTACATACTAAATATCGTGTTGTGATCTAACTTCTATTAGATTATTCATTGGATCTTTATAATTATGAATAAATAGATAATATGAAGGAATGATTTTGATGAAAAATCATTAAAAACAGGAATGATTCTCAGTGTTATGAAAGTATCATAGGAACCTCAATTACAAACTACAACAGTTCTTTTAGATAAGCTGAAATGGCATCAAGAAACCAATAAGGAATGGGAGAAAAGAAGACGGATAATTAAACAAACTTGTAACCAAAAGAAAAAGAAAGGTTTAAAAGAATGAAATGTTCGTAAATTAAAGTTAAAACTTTGGTTTTTCAACGATAGAACTAGGAATTCAAAAGGGTATCGATCCCATGTTCATCATTTTATTAGGAGAAAGAAGGCTACGGGAACAAACACACATTGTTAGAAAAATAAATATAAAAACAAAAGATAAAGAACATTTC